CAACAATGGGGCGTAATGTGTACTTCCTACTATGCTTACTACTATCGGACGCTTCCCTGCATGGGAAGAAATCTCTTTTGTATTCACTGCGTCAAGTTTTATTTGAGAAGGTGGCAAGCGAGCTGGTGGTTTACCTTCATGTTAAGTGGTAGCCGCCGCCCGTGGACTTTTTAAATAGCCGTAGGGGTACAGATGCGTTGCCAACGTTTAATGTAGTGGGCCCCGAGTACCTCACGCGCAAGGCGTAACACAAGTGGTATTATATATATATCATCACAATACTAATTTTTACTCGGGTTAGTACCGCGACCTCACAGAAGACCGCTGTCAAGTAAAAGTGTAACAGTTCTGCGTTTCGTCTGGTGAGTGAGGTAGCCGGGGCCCACTTCAATAAGAAGTATCCATGGGCAGGCGGTTATCATTTAACATTAGGTGAACCGTCAGCTCGTTTGCCACTTTCTCACATAAAAACATACAACAAAAAGATACAGTTTGCAGACGTGGCTACTTGCGCAATTGCAAGGAGAGGAACCCAGCCGAATGCGCGGTCTCCGCCGCTCACTCGGCCCGCGTAACAACAACACGCTTATATTAAAGGTTAATTACTCGAAGGAGCTCTGCAAATGTAATAGGAATTCAATCTTATATGTTATAATTTCTAATTGCCATGCCACCTAGAAGAAGTCTCAAAAAGAAAATTCTTGAAGCCAAGAATGGGAACTAAGAGACATTGAAGCCAGGAGCTTTGGAAGTGTTAGCAACAAAAATAACAACATGTTTGGAGCTTAATATTTAAAACAAATTCGAGATTCTCGCGCGGTGAGAATGGTTACCGATTAGCTAGAGCGTTTGGACGTGTCATCCGGAAGGCACCGGTTCGAATCCTGCCAGCGGAGACAAAAATTTGCGACAGTTTTATCTACACGCTTTTAAATTTCCTCCGCAGTGCGAGAGACCCGTATTAAAATCATTTAATCATAAGTATATGAAAACCAAAACAATTTTTTTTCTTTACACCATAGTGATACACGTTAGTAAACCGTACACGTTTCAGGAGTGTTAAGGAAACACAAAAACATCGCGTCCCACCCGACGAGAATAGCCGCTAATAAAATTCCCTCCGCTTTCATTCAACAAGAGCGGGCTGTCACCGTACACCCACCTAATTTCCGCGCGCGACAGATGGCGCCGCGACTCTCCCCGCGTTACGCAGGGGGGGGGGGGGGGTCAGCTTGAACAATAACAACAAACCAATAAAATCGGCCCGCCTCGTGAAAACGGCGACTATACAACTTTGTTAGCGCGTTGCGCGCGCGCACACAGGCACGCGCGTGTGCGGACGTCAACGTCCGCGCGCACACACGCTTGTACGTAGACGTGAACGTTCGCGTTTCAGTGGGCAGCTAGCGTGCATTGCGCAACGCGATCTTGTAATGCGGAATGGGACGTAATCGTTACGTTAACACCTCAGATCGTCGGCTGAGCGAAGCACGCTTTACGTTTCTCCGATTTGTCTCAAAGTCTACCGCCGAAACTTCTCCAATGTTTGTCTCACTCAATCAGTGACTCGGCACCGACGCGTATTTGCCAACTGTGTCAACATTAGATTGGTATGCTCGCCAAGCTTCAGTCCTTGATTGCGATTCAATGGAACCCTCATTTTTGAAACGATGTAAAGGTCATGGGCAAGATGTCAGCTTGTCTGTTTTCTCGCCTTAACCAAAAACGAATACGTAATCCTTTCGCCCACACTTATTGGCCTCGTTTAATGCTGAACGTGACAGTTTTTACATAAAAGAAGTCCGACAATCGGTTGTTACAGTTAAGAATTCGTTATAACTGACTTCCTAGCCACTAAGCCAACTATATTAGCTGACAGTATGCCACCATTAGAGTGGCGGTTGATGTGGTTGGTGTTGCCAGTCTAATAGTACATCGCATTACATGAAAACATCAGTTCTATAAAAAATATAGTAAGCAACAGCCTGTATCTGTCCCACAGTGCATAGTCCACCACGCAACGATACGTCTTCTAAATATTACTCCTTAATAGTTTTAATTCAGAGCTGATTTCGTATTTAAGTTTACAATCTATAGTAATGTGTTACAGCGGTGAGCACACTTCTAATCTTTATATTTATATATATATATATATATATATATATATATATATATATATATATAAATCTTCTGTACGTCTATATGTCACAGAACTCCTACTAAACGGCGGGACCGATTTTAATATTTTTTTTGTGTTTCTTCAGGTAGATTCGAGAATAGTTTAGATTCACAATTCGGTCCACTACCATGTTATCATTTTTAATTTTTTTGGTTATAAGTTGTCGGATTTAAGTAGTGTTTACAGGACAAAGCCTGTCGGTACGCTAGTAGTTAATAAATTAGTAATGTATGTATGAACCCAGAGAGATGTTCCAGACGCCAGCAGCCCAGTGGCTAGTGTAACAGTTGCTTTCACGGAAATTTTAGGCTCTCCAACGTCTTGATGTGCAATGACCCCCTCACGTTTGGGACCGTTGAACGGTCGGTAAACTATGGCCACAGGCACGGTATCTGTATTTAGTGAATTTCTGTTATTACGGTATGACCTGAGGACTCTAAAGCTGCCTCTACCGATGTCAACGTAGAGCTCATGTGAAAGGCGCCCCTTTAAATTACATGCAAATTCGCAATGAGTTTACCTAAGCATTATTCCAAATGCAATTACGGGTTAGTTTGTTTATCGTAGTGCGTTTCGAAACCACTAGACCGACGTCATTAGTTTATGAACGTCGTTGCACGAAATTGTATGTCATCAGGCGGCCGTAATGCGTCATATAACTATGCACGTTCGATGTCAATTTGCGTACGTAATATTAGACATTAAATCGGCCTAATTATACAAAAGCGTTCGATCGCCGCAGTATTATTACAGAAGTGATAATTGGGCGTACTATACCGTATCCTACTAGGTTGGCCCGGAAGCTTCTAGGTGAGAAGGTAATATGTATTATCCTTTTGTACTTATAAGGGTAAGAACGCGGAAAAAAAAACAGACATATATTTGATCTTTACCTGAAGATAACAAAGACTAAGCCTCTTTCTTGTCCGCCTATCTTGCATTAGCATCTCAGAGTAAGAATGGCTTTTCCAAGGTCAATATTCATTCTCTCAGAGGTGATAGGGAGGGAACGTTGATTTCAACAGATAAAATTGGACTCCGCAACTAATATGATACATAGTAAACACAATTAACCTGGAACTCAATGGTACTTTGGTCAAATTAATTAGACCGACTGCGTTCTCGGAAAGTGCCTCCATCGACTGTATTCATTAAACGTAATATATTACGTTTAATGCAAACTTAGCATTTAATGCATGAGATATCATAACATGAGCATATTCTTTCCTGAAATGCCCGGCGACGCATGTTGCAGATGTTCATGAGCGTCGGTGATCACTTTCCGTAAAGAGATCCTCCTCCACACTTGCCCATTTTTTTCCATAAAAAATATGGACGCTATGTGTGCTAATAATATAATGAAAGACAACAAATGTTACTCTCAGTCACATCGGAAATAGAAACTAGTCACATCGGAAATAGAACTAGTGTTGAGCCCTCGGAAGTGAGCATGAAGAGTAACCGTATAAACTCACGGTCGAAACTGCAAACTGATTTAGACGTAGATAATCTTAAAAATCGTCTAAATCCGTGATGCAGATAACGAACAATTTAATACGTGAATACACAACACGCACTCCTGTGTTGAAACACTGCCAGAGCTTTTATTGTCTCGATGGGAACATAATAAAAGTAAAAATATGGCATTCCTTGAGCGTCTATCGCTGATTTTAAAATAGGAGTCATGTTGCAATATAGCCGGCTTGATATTACGGCCCCCGGAGTACGAGCCCAGTGCTCACGTTAAACGCTCGCGAAATTAAATTCTTTGCAACGACCTGACATTCTGGGATTCGCAACCGAAGGGGGGGGGGGACCGCTACAAAGGACAAACAAAGTCCCATAACGTTGACTACTTTGCCGATCGGGGTAAGACGTTCTTTACGGATTTCTCATTATTTGTGAATGTCTATTGAGCTATTTAATACCTCGTTTGGTTTTACAATTTATTTATTCAAATACAAACAGGTGAAGAATTCCTTCCTCCCTGTTATTAGGTATGCAAAATGCACCGACGGAAAAGTATGAGCGCAGAAATCCAGGTGGTGTTTCAAACCGGAGCACTGCGCCCCAGCGCTTTTAGCATAGCTACCAACATTGCCGCCTACCATACCTACGCTGTATACCGTAAATGCGTATACCGTACGCTAAGCAGACTGACCGACGCGAACCTTTCATGTTAAGATCATGTCCCTCCTGTCGTAGGCTTCATAGGATATGACGTCACACTATCTAAAAGCCCATTTTCAAGTTAAGATTATATCCCTCCTGTCGTAGGCTTCTTAGGATATGAGATCACACTGGTCGACAAGTTGCGATTTGCACACAATAACGCTATACACGCTTCGGCAGTTTAACGACCTCTAGATATAGATAGCTAAGAGCACTCAGCTCATGACGTCAAAAAGGCTATTCGATTGGTTTAATTCCATCTTACAAAAAAAACCCGGCCAAGTGCGAGTCGGGCTCGAGCACGAAGGATTCCGTACCGTATTTCTAAAAACGTCAAAAAAATCATGTGTGTTGTATGGGAGCCCCTATTATTAAATATTTTTATTCTGTTTTTACTACTTGTTGTTATAGCGGCAACAGAAAAAAATCATCTGTATAAATTTCAACTGTCTAACTATCGCGGTTCATGAGATACAGCCTGGAGACAGACAGATAGACAGCGACAGTCTTAGTAATTGGGTCCCTTCGGGTACGGAACCATAAAAATTGAAGGCGCAGTGATACACTTACACTTAATGTTCTCCCTCGTTGAAAAATTATTAAAGAACATACGGACTTAGCCTAAGTTTATCATAGAGTAGATACTCACTTTGCGTTGTTCCGCATGTTGTAGTTGGTGCTAATATATTCTGCGTCCCCACTGCAACAAGAAAAGGAATATTATTTTTTATACTAAAACAAGAATTAAAATGTTCATACGTAAGTGCTGTATCAATCCGGTTTGCACAAGAAATATTGACACACAATATATTGATCGTTTTAAAATGATATAAGAATTTAAGCACCTCAGTGCCTTGAACCGTATCATAAAAATAAATTACAATGCTACTAAAAACTGGTAAATTATTGGAACACAAAAGACCTAAAACTGATAGAGCACAAAAAAGAAATGAGACAGAGCCATACCCAGCTTCATTGTTACAACTGGTTAGCATAAACTTTGCATATGTTTTGATAAAATCGAACCATTTGCTGAGTGGCGGGAAATCCCGTGGATGCGGGAATTCCATATAGAGGTTATCTACCGCATTAATTTAATAACTACAGCACGTAGCAGATAAGTTGAAAGCAATCTACAAAAAATAGTATGGTGGCTCAGCACGAGTGCACGGATCCAAATGTATGTATTGTATATGTAGGCCACGCAAGAGTCTTCGCTGTTGCACGAATGGGCAGGCACTGATCAGCAAAAATCCATTCGTAAAGCAGTCAAGCATTAACAAAGGACACGTTATCCATTACACTGTCATTACACCATTGTAGTGAGTTAAAAATAATACATAGATATATTATTTTAAGTACAGTAAAACTGATAGCCGAAGGACCAGATCAGATCATATTGTATGAAACGATAATCGATGTAGAAATATTGTCGGAAACACTAACCCACTTACGGCATCCTGCACTTGCCGAAGGGAAATGCCAGACGCCCTTGGGCGATTTGTATCTGGCGAGTTCCACTCATTGTTGGAAAGGATTAAACATGGGTCTTGGCGGCCCGTACCATCCAAAGCGCACACGTTTTTCATCAAGCATTGGGTATATTTTTCTATACGTGGGTTGTTTCTCAAGATCCTATTATATTCAGGTTGTTATAAAAGCATATCGGTAAAAATAAATCTCGAAATATCAGACAGCTGAAAACTAATAGTTGTCATCAACAGAAGAAAACGTACCAACTAAAGTATGGTCTCTTAATGTAAGTGATGAAAAATTAAATATGGCGTAAAGCTTTTTATTTTCTTAACGTTCGTTTATTGCAATGTATTTCGTCGTTTTCTGCAAATGGGTAGTTGCACCGTTAAAACTTATTTCGATTACTTACATAAGTACCTACAATATTTTAATATCGAACATAAGTATCGACATTATGTGCATTTCAAATTTAATTTCAACACGCATCGTAACAAATAACATATAAGTAAATAAAATTTACACGGTCAGATTTCTGGATTGAATTAAATATAAAAGTTCACGCATTCATATACATATTTGCTACAATCTTATCGCAATGTTCACTATATTTTACATGGAAGAGGATACTAAGGTGTTAAAGAATGATAATTAGTAGTGCAAGTTTAAATACGGACGAGTTTGCACATTTGTGCAACAGCCGAAGTTAATGCGTGGCCCTACGACAAGTGTTGGACGTCACCGGTTACCCTCATCTGCCACAATGTGGCTATAGAGATGAAATCATTGTCATATTTGTGGCCAATTGAATTTGGTAAACAAATTGGCAAATAAGCAAAGCATATAATATGTGTGAGAGAGACGAAAGATGGGATAGAATTTAACCGATTGGGGTGATGTTTACATAACCTAATGGTTCTGCCAACATCGTTCAACTTGGTAGGAAACGCTTATCAAATGCGAAGAGTAGCCCAATAAAGTAAATAGTAACTATTGAAAAATTCTGAACGCAGCCGATCTTTTTTTTTACTGTGAAAACCTCAATGATCGATCAGGCGGTTCACCTGCTTTACCATATTATAACTTATTTCTCGTTATTGTTTCACACCCGTTTCCGCAACATCAGCCGTGATAGCTCATTGGCCGAGCGCTCGCTTTTACTTCAATATACTCGAACTACCTGTGTTCGATCCCTGATGACAACACCAATGAAATTGTTAATTTCAAGTGCTGACTTATCACTCGAAGGAAGACATCGTGAGGAAACCTCTATATTTTCGAAATAATAACAAAAAATAATATTTTCAAGGTATGTGAAGTCGTCCAATTCGCATAGGGGTGGCATAGTGGAGGACGCTCTTGCCCAGCTGTGGGACATTTATAGGCTGTAACTTTGCCTTTTATTGAGTAACGGTGCAGCCGCGGCGTTTTTCTTCACCTGAGAAGAGTGTAACATTAACAGTGTCAACAGTGGCTTAGATCCACGAATTACGTTAAGTGGCCGTTTCCTACTTTACGCTAAACAAGTTTCCGTGATCCGACGACGCGGCTCGTGGTGACTGCAGTGACGTCACCATCTCTGGGTCACCATATGCCTTGCTTGGATAATAGCGCTAAGTAATACCGTTCCGGGTCTGGGTATCGATGAGCGTGCGGCCGAGGATTGCAGAGCTTCTGTCACTCTCACATTTGGATCTGTTGTCATCCATCCAGAGTTACACTTGGTGCATTTGTTTGAAGACAGCATTCAGTTTATAATATGAGCCCCTCGGAACAACTTGATGTTCGACCATTTATAATGCGTGTAAAATACGGTGGCTAATGCGAGATGAGGCTATAGATGGCTTGCTTTGTCAATGTGTCGTATTATCCGAGTTCCGGTGTAAGCGCGAAAAGCTCTCTATGTAATTGCACTAAAAAGATAGTATTTTCAAGATTTGCATGTTCTGGTTGCTCATGATGTTGTAATAAATCCATGATTGGTAGAAAGTTGACGACAATTTTTTTTATGTAAGTAGATGGCGAGCGTGCAGGAGGTCAATTTGATGTTGAGTTATAACCGCCCATTGACAATTACGGGTAAGTATACAAATTTCACCAGAGGAACGCAGAAGTATGTATAAAATATCCACTTCACGCCGGTCTTCTGTAGGGTCGTGGTACTTCCCCGACGGACCAGTCTAGCAAGAACAGTGTGGCAGTGGGTCAGGGTGCGAGGTAACCCTGCGTACATCTGCGGACCTTCAACAATGGTGAACCACTTCAGCCCAGTTAACGCGACACGATCGCATGCAGTGACATGGTGTGATACAATACACGGTTATAGTTGTTAGGGTCAAGGTAGCTCGAACACTTTAGTAATTCAACCAACGTATATCCGGCTCCTGGTCAAGGCATTTCCTCGCGTGTGCAATAGAAAGCGTTTTAATGGCAATCATTTATTTCTCCATTTAATACAATTACATTTCTCATAGTGCTGTTGGAGGTTTGCATGACAATAGTCAGGGCTGTCAGTACCGCAGCTCTTGCGTTCATTAAATTTATTTATCTTATTGAAATTGTCTAGATCTATATGGAATCACGCGGTTAATTTAAACATCAAGTGTCAGTATTACAGGTATACCAAGGGTGGCACTTCCTGACCACGTGTAGGAATGCTTATTCACGGAATATATTACCCGTGTTTGAATCAATTTGGATTCGAGACCACTTCGGCCTTTGCATACAAATTTATAGTTATCAAGCAAAAGTTATAAATTTCATTTTGCGAGTTATTTCACACGTTACAAACTTCCCGCATTATTGTGTTTTCGAGAAAACAATGAACGAACGCGATAGCAACAACTAACTGGAACAAAATAACTGGATAGTAAAAATGAGTAAATAATGAAAGCGGAATGTCCGTATAATGCGTCCTTGTTGGCGACCCTGCGGAGTGGTCGAGGCTATCTTTGCTTTCAGCGTGAAAGCGGACAGCCTTTCCCTTATCCTTGGGGCAATGTATGCGACATTTACTGCCCGTGCTCATAAAAGGGACCGAGGCCAGAGCAGCGCATCTACGCGCTCAGCTGTAGCGGTACTAACCAGGCGCAAAAATATAGCTCTAAAAGCTCTTCCTTTGAAATTTGAATACTTAACAATTAAAATTCTCCTATACGAGCCACGCCTACCGTGCCTGCCCTTGGTTTCTACTCAATTATTCGTTAAACCCATGTTCAAATATCTGTGACGGCACCAATTAATCGCTGATTTATTAAATCCTCATCGGTAACAATTTAGAAATAATAAGAAATGAAAAAATATTTAGAAGATATGCGAAGTCGGCCGAAGTATGCCGTTCAATGAAGCTGTTATTTTACTATAGCTTAAGTTTCCCCAAATATACAACGGATGCACGGCCTTCAAAAACGGCGGACACGTTATCGAAAACTTCCTGGAGCTTGTTACATATTCGGTATCACAGACACATAGCGGAAGGACTCCAGGAGTCGAAGCCACTATTTTCTGGTCACATAAATTTTATCTCGAGCTCTAATTACTGAAACAGTGGCTCCACCTAAGCGTATATATACTCATCGAAAAGTAAGAGAAAATTTACTATGTTTCGTTTACACTTTACGTTTTAATTATTAATTTACCCACAGAACTGTCCACTCCTCGAGGACTACAGGAAACTTGGTGATTTTTTAGAACATAAGAAACTCGAGGAGGATAATGACGGGCCAAAAATAATAACAAAAATATACATATCGAAAATATGTGAAGTCCGCCAATCCGCGGTGCGGCCGAATGGTGGACTATTTCCTGATACCCTCTGTACAGAGGAGGCTTTTGCCCAGCAGTGGGACATGTATAGGCTGATACTTTACTTCACTTTTATACTTTACTATACACCAAATAAGAAAACGATAAAAAGTACAAAAAACAAAACATTTGTCATCAACGGGCGGATTTTGGTTTTTATTTAGAGTTGCGTGCACTCGCGGTCTTTCTGCCTTTTGTATCGTTATTCTTGCAAAGACGTAGATTAGTTGAAACGTTGGAAGAATTAGTAATTTCTGCCTATCCTATTCAGGTCGCGTAAACTTAGATTTTATTGCGTCAAGGCTTGCTCAAACATTACATTACATTGTATCATTCTACTTCGCTTTGCGTGTAGAAAGCAACAGTTTAGCCTTTGTTAACATTTGACACAAATCAACTGAGCACGCAAAAATTTCAATCATA